GCCCGGTTAGCTCAATCGGTAGAGCGTACGACTCTTAATCGTACGGTTGCGGGTTCGACCCCCGCATCGGGCTTTTTTGCACATACCTTGCGATTCAAGCTACGATGCTCTTTCGAGCACATATTGCCAGAGTCGGCGCCACCACATCATGTATACAAAATATCATATACATCGTTTATACATAATATGGTTATAGTTATTAGTGGAGCAAGCATAAGTCGTTTAAGGACGTATGGCAGAAATTAGAGGGGCGCTGGAATCTAAGTTTAAATGTCAAGCCAATCTAGCAGAGCGAGTATATTGTGGGTAAAGATGGGAGTGGCGTGAGCAGCGAGGAACGGATGCTAGGATGTCGTTCCGATTTGTTCGCGGGAACGACTGCTGAACTCCGGCCTATTTGTTAAAGAACGCCAGAAGCTTCAAGTCTACGGTTTAGTCCTTAGCTCTCGAGCTGAAAGACGCGTGGCTATCATGACGCGCACGATCATTGCACTTTGAAAATATATATAACCATGTAACGATGAGTGCACGCGCTGTCCTCCGAGTTCATTCCCTCCCCTTGTGACGCGCAGGGCTCGCGTCATCGCCCGCCTCCCGAACGTGGCCGTCATCTGGATGCGCCAGCACCGCGCATCCATGACGTGGGGTGGCACCGCGCGGTGAGGCGCAGCGTCGCACGACTTCATGTCCTTTTCCTCCCGCCTCACCGTGTGCGCCTCACCAGTCATGCATCGCGGTGCAATGGTCCTTTCACGCGAGGAGGTGGCGAAGTCACTCAATCATCCGCAGTGGTCCCGCTCATCATGCTGGTGGGACCCTGCCGAGGGGCATATCATGCGCTGCGGCATGATGCGGATGGAGGAATGTGATAACGAAGGCCGGCGACAGGTGAAGAGGGCCCCGACGTCGCTGTTCGGCTGAACCCTTTTGCCCCTGTATCATCATGGTCGAGTCAATCGAACACGCCTCTATAATCGGGTGATGCTAATGACGATATGATTTGATTTGATGATGTGTTGTTCCTGGTGCAAGGTCGGTCTGACTCTGGGTGCCGATAGGCGCTGTGGATGTCATGTTCCTGATTGGGTGTCATTTTACGATGGTGACTCAGACCGTCGCGTGGCCTAATTCGACGGTATAGTTCGACGGCCCCTAGCTAAATCCTTCCGGGTGGCTCGAAGGGAACCAGCGTGTTCGTGGTGAGTTGTCTTGTACTAGGCGAACATATATATCCATTTGTATAAATGGAAGGCGAAAATGGCACATAAAAAGAACAGGGAGAAGCGCAAGGCCCGATGCCCCTCCGGTAACCCGCACCGGAATGGACCACGAGCGAAAAAGGAATAGGAAAACAAAAAGAAAAGAAAAGAAAGAAGGCATTGGAGGAGCGGCATTCTTCGTCCATGGGAGGATGTGCCTTTTGTAAAAGGAAAATATTCGTATACGAGCTCCATCATGACATAGGAGAATCGTCCACGAGCTCCATCATGACATAGAAGAACGTGGTGCTCATGTCACGGGTACAGGCCAAGTAATACAACGGCTCGCCGTGCCAATAGTCGTCCAGAGAGACATTGAATCCGGACAGTGAGACCTTCATCTGTGACAGCAACAGGAATCGGTTGTAGAAGTCGGCCGAGATGACCTGGTCGGGCGTGATCAGGAAATCCCGGCGGCGGTCCTGCTTAAGGAAGAACTTCTTGCGGGTTTCGGCGGCCATGTCGCGACCGCTTTTCATCAGCAAGAAGTTCGCTTCCTCCAGCGCCTCGGCGCCACCAAGACGGTACGGCGGGAGCATCGCGTCGACAAGCTGAGCTTTAGCGCCGACACCGTACGTATTCTCCAACGATTTGATCTGGTGGCGGATCTCCGCTTCGGCCATCGCGGCCTGGGAATGGGGTATGCGCTCAGTCAAACTATCGACTACGCGCGGCTCCTCTTCTCCGTACTCGCCTTCAAATACAGCGTCGTCAAACGCATCGGCGGGGAGCAGGGTGGTGCTATTGTGGCCAGATGCGAAGCCGTCCGCAGCTCCCGGCGGTCCGTGATGATGGGCTCCTGGGGTCCCGTTCTCAGATCCTGACAACGAGGTAAATGAGCTGTTTTGCAAAGCAGGCGGCGGCAATGGCATCACATGACCGGGGCTTTCTTCCGACTGGCGGGTCTGACTAGGGACCCGACTGTGGGTAGCGTGAGCGCCGAGGTAGCTGTTGCTGCTGGCGCCTCGGCTGTGGCCTCGCTCGGTGCCGTGGCTGGCACCCTTCTGATGCATCGAGGGGTTTGACGGGTGCGGGCTTCGCAGACGCGGGCTCACCGATCGTGCCTCGGAGCGACGACCAAAGAGGTGGAGACCGCTTCCCTCTGCCGTCTGGACATAGGCCAAAGACTTGTGATGTTGGCCCGGGGGCCCCAGCAAGGGGGCCGGTGCAATGTGAATCACGTTCATGGCGCAGAGCATCGGCGACAAACACCAGGGATCCGTGGGGTGATGTAAGTCAGCTTGGAGACCCGGATCCAAGGTCTGGGCGAAGCGCAGCGCCAAGTCAGATCCCGGCGGGAGTTTCAGCTTGCCGTGCATGCGGGTGCCCCACCATAGGTCGTCACCCGTCCATGTCTTTGTGAATCGGCCCTCGATTTGGAACGAGAAGAGGCGGCGGCGGCCTTGGAAGTAGGGCGTAGTCTTGAGGGGTGCGAGCTCCTGATTTTCGTTCGGATCTTCAAACGAGGTCACCGATGAACCGGCGGTTTTCGAGGTGGAGGCCGCGGCCAGTGAGCGTGCATCATCGGGCGGCGAGGCAGGGCCGTAGGCTACGATCGGAGCGGGAATGATCGTGGTCATAGGGGCCGCAGCTACGACCGTAGGTGTGACAGTGGAGGTACCGCCTCCGAAGGGCAGGGGCGCCGACGAGACTGTGACAGTTGCGATGCTGCCGTTGCCCGTCTGGCGCTTGGTGGTGAGCACCTTGGCGCTATGGGCGGTCATCTCCTTGTCGTCGAGCGCCGGGGTCACAAACATGTCCGGCGCACCCTGGGCGAGATCAGGACGCGTGTTCACAGACAGTCCATTCTGGATCGAACCATTGGGATTGGCGGGCGTGTCAAGTGGCACCTGTGGCGGCGTGTTGACCGGGGAGAGCGGTGCCACATGCGAAGAATAGGGTGCGGCCTTCGAGGGGTTGGCCGGATGCGGTTTCTGGACGCCAATGCCCGCCGCACGCTGAATCTCGGCCTGCGTCGGATTCACACCGTTGTCCCAGTTGTCGGCGCGAACCACAATGCGCCCAACAAAGTGCTCTGATTTCAAGGGCACCGGGTGCAGGTCATCGTTAACGTAGATGATTTGGCGGTCCGCAGGATTGCTGGGGTCCGTGCCGACGCTGATGCGGAGGCGGCGTTTTGTTTTACCGTTGGTAGGCGGGAAATGCGTGACCGGGGACGCCGCAGACAAGGACTCATTCGAGTTGGAGGCGGAGGAGTGGTTGCTGTTGCGATGGTGCGAGGCAGCATTGCTGCTACCGCCATAGCCGAACATGGTAGCGATAGGGTGCGAGGGGTCTGGTATGGGAAGGGCCCAAAAAAGTCGGTTGGCAAGGAGGGATGTCCAGCAAACCAACCAGCGTCGTGAGCGGTCCGGAGATGAGCGAACACCACGAACTGGATTTCGATGCCGTCGGATCAAGACGGAGTCCTTAACAAGCGTAATCACGGAAGGGCCACTAATAACTGAGGAACAAGAAACGTGGGCAAGGAAAGATACAAGACGATGTCCGTATAGATAAATTCTTGCTCAACCAGTGTAACGGTCCTGACAACGGGGCTGACAAATTGAACCAATCGGCGACTGATCAACCGGTGTAAGGGCGTCACGGCGACGAATGGGGCCGTGGAAGGCGGCAAACAAAAGGGCTTCACCACCCACTAAGGAAACCGGTCCGAGGGACGAAACGAGACAACAACAACAAAAGGGGAAGGCGTCTGGGCAAACAGACGGTGGGCGATGGAGCGAAAAGAGACGAATTTTCGGAGCCGAGGAGGCCGTGGAGTCGGGAGCAAGCGGATGTCGGAGAGCGGAAGCAGGGGTGTCGTGTCATACAAACGTCGCCACCAATGGACCCGGAAAAACTACACAGCGTTTCACCGATAATCAGAGCAGCAGGGGTCGCGCAGCGCGATCGCACCGAAAAAAGATATCAGGGTAAACGATGAGCTACGCAGTCAGAATCGTAGAGAACGATCAATGACAAGCAATACGCGAGATGCATACGATCGCGATGATTACTTACAGCTCCAACACTAAGTAGTTCGCCGTTTGAGCCGTTCAAAGAAGGGGCCACGCCCTTAGGAGATCACGAGCGACGTAGCAAGAATGGTCGCCACGAGAACGGTACGAGATCGAGCAATCAAAACGAGCAGAGTGGATACACCTGAATCGGATCAATGAATGGAGTGGGGGAAGGGGATGGAACGATTAGCTAATTCGGTGATCGATCGATGTGATCGATCGTCCCGTAACCAACGTTGAGGCTCACACCTAATCGACACTGCACAAACGGCCACGAAGGGTGGGAGGAAGGGGTAGGTCGAAAGCACAACTTTGACGATGGCAAGGAACGGCCGAGCGAGTCGTTGTTCAAACGTGACGTGGTGAAAAGAGAAGCTGCACGATGGGAGGTTCACAGATCACGGATCGCGGGTAGCACACCCAGGTGAACACCAGGTAAACGATATGGGGTGCAGGTATGAAGGTGGTCTTGGCCGTTGCGGTCAGCAGCACGATCGACAAATCAAGAGATCGAGGTCGAGGTCGAAGGCGAGATCGTGGATCTGGCAGATCGGAAAGCAATCACGGGCAAGCCGCCACGTGGTGAGTTTCTTCGCCAGGCTGCGGTCGAATGGCCGTCAGCGGGATTATGAACGATATGCGCTGCGGGTCGGCTGCACTCCGTTTCCTACTGCGGTTTGGTGGGTGGAGGCCCGGGATTGTCTATGATGGAGCTCACGGGAAACGACCGGAGGGGAGCGAGCGGCGTGGCCGGGGCCGATCGGGGCGGCGGTGCCAAGCCGTTCGGAGCG